ATGCACAAACACACATTCAAATAGACATAGACAGAAAGAGCATGACATAAACCAATATCCTTCTCTATGACACCATGATTGGATATTTACTATCTCATTGCTCCAAGCTTACTCACAAGAAATGAATTAAATGTTTTTTTTCTTTCTTTTTTTTCCTTTTTTTACTGCTTATCCCTGCCTTCATAACAGCAGATTGGCATTAAAAGGGCATGGGTGAAATTAACTTGTCTGTGTTTGGGGGGGTTGCATGCCAGTCCCAAGCCTATTTTGATGATGTGGGAATGAGAGAGAGAAAACATTCTCTCAAAGACTCCCATCAAATGCCTGTCATTTCTTCTTTTAACTGCCTAATCCCTGATGTTGTGCGGTTATGGTGCTGTCTCGCTTCTCAAACAAACTGTTTGCTGTTCTCTCTCTGTATCGTTCTGCCTGTCGTCCTACCTCTGTCTGTGCAGTTAGCCAACCCTCCTGCCGAGCTGTGCTCTAAAGAGTCAGACCTCCCATGGCTTCCTTTCTCTTGGGTTGATATCCACTATTACAGTTGACTGGTATGTTGAAAGATTAAGAGAGAGTGATAGAGAAACTGTCAGACAGGGATACAGAAAAAGGAAACGAGGCATTGCATAGGGAATTGGGTTAAAAATTCCCCCATGCTTTGATGGTATAACTTTATTGCATCACTCTATTGCCAGGGGACTGGGATTTAGAGTTGTTTTTTAAGCAACAATCTTTGACAAATCAATATTAAAAATGCTGTATACTCTAATTAGTTTTGTATTTAATTTTGGTTACTTTACATGGTCATATATTTTATAAAACACCAAGAATGATTTCCCTTAAAACTACACCTTTCTTGAGAATAAAGTCACAATGCTACAATTTCAACCATACAGAATAATTTGATCTTCTCTTTTCCGGTATGCAATCATACCAGTTTTCAATATGTATATGAATGATTCTTTTTTAGCATATATATGATTATTTTCTCTAGTTTGGATGGATATGCAAGCACATAGTTGTACAATCTCGAGTTATAACATTGCATGCATACTTTACTACTTCCTGTACCACATTTGTTTATCAATAATTGGATCTCTAGATCTCAATTGTTGGGCTTCAGTGGAGGAAGTATATACTGTACTTAGTTAATAGTAAAATTACTAATATCAAAATACTCCATTACACGTAAAAGTAAGTCAAGCATTTAACATGTTACTAAAGTAAAAATATGTCAGTATAATCAGGAAAATCTATTTAAAGTATCAAAAGTAAAATTACTCATTACAGAAAAATGTCCCCTACGACTGTTCCTTCATACTATTAGATTATTATCACTGATACATAAATGTCTAAGCAGCATTTTACTATAGGACTGAAATAATAGGACTAATTATTTTCCCAGGCTGCATGTCAAAGTGTCCTTGGGCAAGATACTGAACCCCGAATTGCCAATGGTGGCTGTTCCGCCAGTGTATGAATGTGTGTGAATGTTAGTTTCTGTTTGAGCACTTAGGCTCAGTGTGTGAATGGTGAATGCAGATGTAGTGTAAAAGCGCTTTGAGTGGTTGAAAAAGACTAGAAAGGCGCTATACAGAGCATTAACATATAAATTAACCTCCTGATTATTTTCTAGAGTAATCGATTGGATTGATTGTTTGGCTGTAAAATTTCAGAATATAGTGACACACACACAAAGCCACAATTTTTGTTTTGTCAAACGCTTTGTCCATCCTCAGAATTATAAAAATAAATTAAAAGTATTAAAATAAAATAAAAATTAAAAGGGAAAGCTGTAAATCCTGAAAGGTTTGCATTTTTACATGAAAAATACACTGATCAGCCAAAACATTATGACCACTGACAGGTTAAGTGAATAACACTCATTATTACATTACAATGACACCTGTCGCTGTCCTCAAAGTTTATGTGTTGAAGCAGGAAAATTGGCCAAGTGTAAGGGTTTGAGTGACTTTGACATGAAAAATGGCTAGATGACTGGGTCAGAACATCTCCAAAACTGCAGCTCTTGTGGGGTGTTCCACAGTCTCAAAAGTGCTCCAAGGAATAAAAAACAGTGAACCAGCGACAGGGTCATGGGTGGCCAAGGCTCACTGATGCCCAACAGACGAGCTACTGTAGGTCAAATTGCTGAAAAAGTTATTGCCGGAGGGTTGCTAACGTCTTGGTGCCAGATACAGCAGCACACTTCAGAGGTCTAGTGGAGTCCATGCCTCGACAGGTCAAAGCTGTTTTGGCGGCAAAATGGAGACCTACACAATATTAGGCAGGTGGTCATAATGTAATGGCTGATCGGTCTCCTCATCTCATTTTCTTTCAAACCACTAATCATTTCAGCCTTTCTTGTACTACGTATTGTTTGATACAGTAGTAGTAAAATGTATATAGCATTATATTTACATAATGAGCACATCATATGTTTTGTACGTAAAAAATATTATTCTGTAAAGTATCTAGTGTCGAATATTTGTAGTAGAGTAAAAATTACAGTATTTTTGAAATGTAGTAAAGTAGAAGTAGCATACTCAAGTAAAGTACAAGTACTGCAGATTTTAGCCTACTTGAATAAATGTACATTATGGTCTATTTCTATGTACAGTATGCATCGTGATAGTGAACATAATATTAATTGGCTAGTGTGCCTCATTCTGGATGTATTGTGCAAGGGCACTGCATCAGAGTCCCAGAAAGGCTGTGTTCAATGTTAATCCAACTGCACAATACTATAAATAACATGAATACATGCACACAAACACACACACGCACGCATACATAATGAACATTCTTACACATGTATGTATCTATAAACAAACACACATAGGCTTCATAGTCACTTCTACACACACACAAAATCATATGCACACACAAACATCCACACACCCAAACACACACACACAGAGCCAGCATACACAAAACCAAAAAACAGACTCAGACATCAACAAAAATTCCAAAGAATAGTTTACTTTTCTCTCCAGCTTTGGCTTCCAGATAAGTGGAAAAGGAAGGCAAAGATGACAAAAAAAGCCACAGACAGGAGTGTGAGAAAGAAACAAGGGACAGAAACAGGAAGTGGTATAATGAGGACATACTAGGCTCTTATCCTGGCAAATGACCTTCTATTTCTCTAAGTCATGAGAGGAAATATGTTCAATGTGAAAGCTTAGGTTTTTATGCTTAGTACCAGGTGTTAAAGGTTAACTATTATAGATACATTTGCACAGTCAACAATCAAACCTGCAGCTGGGTTGGGAACCACTGTGCTAAACTGTCAGTAATTAAACTAACTAAAAACTACAGTACAATGCAACAGTATGTATCAATATTACCAGACAAATAAAGTCAGGTACAATGATATTTCAGTGGCAGGGGACATGTTTCTGCAGAACATTTTACTTCTATTTTCCATTTTGCTAATATTAACTGTAGCCTACTTTTATTTATATAGAATTAACATTTTTTTTACAATGCTATACTGGTACTTTTACACAATTAAAGGATCGGTGTAGTTATTTTGTCACTGGACAGATATTGGATTTGACAGGTGGTCTGTCTATTGTGTTTTCCAATTAGTGTTAAATATATGAATGTGGATATCACAGCTGAAGACATTGTTACATTATGTTTCTAAAGATTATTATGGTTATTGATATTGTTGATGTGCTATTATCATTGCAGTTGTAGTAGTAGTGGCATTAGTTTTAGTTGTGGGTGGCAGACAGGGCCAGCCCAGCAGACGCCGGACAGAGAGATTCTGTCCACGCCTTCTTCATCCCACAAATGCTGTGTCCTCATTCACTACAGCCAGACACAAACTGCTAACTGACCAGGTAAGACGTCACTAATCCTTTTTTCATCAATTGGTAATGGTAGATTCATTGTCAGCACTATGTCTTTTTGGAAGTCGTTTGTATAAATCTCTGAATGAGCGCGTCTCTCCCCAATGCGTGCGCCTCCTTAATAAATCCAGCTGTGCGCGGCTTTTACTCTGGAAGCTTTCTATTTGTTCATTATGTGTCTTTTGAAAGTAAAGCTGCTCCGCGAGTCAGCTGAGCGTGGGCAGTCACTTGCGTCTTCATATTCACTAATGGCCTTATTGTTTCCAAATATTTGGGGATTATAATAAGACGCTTCTGAACTGACACACTTGCAGCGGGAATTACACCCCCCCCCCCGCGCGCCCTCTTTCTTTCGCTTACACCCGCCGCTCTGAAGCATTCCACTGTTTTCTTTGACGGAATGGACCTTTGATCCACACTTTGTGTGGCTTGAATGCAGCAAACCAGTTGGTTTACTGCATGGCCAATTTGGAAATGTTAAACGTTTGTAAAAATGTTTTAATATTTTGTTCAAACACCCATAGAACTGTTTTACTTCTATTACTTGTGTCTCTAAATGCATGCTGGTATTTTCCACAACAGCTTCAATGATCCTGAGTTTAATTATAGTATACAGCATCTAAATTTGGACCATGCCATGTACAGTGAAAGTAATTAATCTAACCCTAACCCTGGTCTCTAATCCAACTCCATGAACCCTAAACAAAGAACAGGACTGCTGTCACAAATTTGTATTAAACTTCATTTTTCTCAGAGAGCACACTACAATGACTTGGTTCAAAATAATTGTGTTGATCTCAGTGGTTATGAACACCCCCAAACCAGAATGTATAAATAGAAAGTGAGGTAGAAGTAAAATGGAAAAATATAGGCCTATTATTTGCAGCTTAATGTAGCTAGAGGGAATTGAAAGTGTCAGCACCCACTGTACTATATCGACAAAGCTTGAAAATGCAAAGTTTGTGTACGAAAGTAGAACTTCTTTGTGATAAATTAGAGTTATGGTCATGTGTGGTGTGCTGGTAAAATTAGTTATTATATTATGAGTTATTTAATGTAATGTTTCAATCAAATGAGCTATATTTTAATATCCAAATATTAATAACATGTTTGTGTGTGCTTTTTATTCTCTTCCCAAGATTATCCATGGCGACAGTCTCTCAGTGTACACACCTCGCCCTTCTTATTCTGTTGATTCATTTCCTGACTGCATCACCTGCCACCCAAGATGACCTTGTAATCAAGACTAGGCATGGGGCAGTTCAAGGGAAGTTGCTTTCAGTGCTGGGTGGTCATGTTAGAGCATTTCTTGGAATTCCTTATGGAAAACCACCTTTGGGCAAACTGAGATTCAGAGCCCCAGAGCCAGTAGAGGGATGGGAAGGGGTGAGGGATGCCACCAAATTCCCAAATTGCTGCTACCAGATGCCAGATACAGCCTATCCAGGTAGGACACGTTTACACGGATGGACGCAATGCATACATATAACGTGACATTGTGATGTTGTGAGTTAAATCCCTGCCTAAAAGAGGTCCGGTAAATAAAACCTGATTGAAATGTCAGCTATTGATGAATCACTAGGACTATACGGAGCCCACTGAGGTCCCAAGGTTTCTTATTTTTTGTGCAAAGAAATTTTGTGGCTGTGGCTCAGGAGGTAGAGCGGGTTGCTTGTTCATCGGAAGGTCGGCGGTTCAATCCCCGGCTCCTCCAGGCTGTGTGTCGAAGTGTCCTGGGGGCAAGATACTGAACCCCAGCTGTTCTGCCAGTGTATGAAAGCGCTTTGAGTGGTTGAAAAGACTAGAAAGGTGCTATACAAGTATGGATCATTTACATTTGATTTTAAGAACGTTCCTAAGATCAACATCTTCCTCAACACTAATCAGCATGCAGTGTGTAGCTATCCACTTCACTATGGCATTTCATCGCTTGTCTTGCTTTTGTTTATCTACTTCTCCCACACGCTGCATCCAGCGTAGTCTGCCAAAGCCTCCCTCCACTGCTTGTTTGGGTGGGTGATTTGCAGGCTGATCAACATCCCACCGCTCCTGTGACCCATGGTTTGACTGTATGTGTATTCAGAGCCAGTAAGAAACGGACTTTCAAAATACTACTACTACTACTAATAATAATGGTAATAATAACAACAACAACAACAACAACAACAACAACAATAATAATAATAAAAACTGCGTCAATGTGAGATAAAATAATTGTCGGCATTTATTAATTAACGCGTTAACGCAAAAATAATGCCTTAACATGCCCAGCCCTACAAAAAATATATTAAAAATCTTTTGCTGCATTTTTAGGACAAGTATTAAGAGGAAATGGCCAGTGAAGACTTACTCGTTACTTAATCATTACTCACTTGATATTGAGAAACTATTTTCTTTGGGAGATGAGAACTCCCTTTGGGGTGGACTTATTGGACTATTACATGCATAAAAAAGGTATATAACTCAATAAAGGAGAGGGGATAAGCCAAAAAGCATAATACCACCTTTTTAATAAACAGAGCGGATGCAAAGATATCCTGACTTTTAGTCCCTTTTAGAATAATCCAAGCTCTGACACCCTGATCTTACACTTCCAATGATGCAACTTGATGGTGTCAGTTCCCATTTTGTAATGTAAGCGTTTTGTCGAACATTTTAAATCTCCAAGTCCAACCCAAAATAAATCTAATGAAATTACAAGGGCAAGGGCATCATCACAGGTTATTTTCTCAGACTCAGGCAAGGTTCCTTAGGGCCACAGAAAAGATTAAACAAGAGTTTTCATTGGCTGAATATTACTAATCGTGACTAGTAAACTGATCTTCATGTGCAAAGTTCAGGGATTACCCATTTAAGTTGAGACTTTGCAGACTTAAATTGAACTGATATGAGGCTGAATCTTATTTAGTAGTGCATTGGCACACTGGCAATGACCGAGGTGTGACAAGGCGTCAAAGGAGTCATTTTAAGCACGTTTGAATAGAAAAAGACCATTGCACTAACTTCAGGTAGGTGTTTCAGTAGAGGGTGACGGTTATATAACACCATATCACACTTACACACACCCACACACAGTGTGTGAGTGATTGGATGATTTATTGCTGTATTGCAGACAGTAATAAATCTTCGGTTTAAATGTTAAGAAACAGATTGGGGCCATTATATCAGTTTAACAAACAAAAATATGTCTAATACAAATTCACAAGCACACATACACAACATGAATTTGATACAAGCCTAGTCCCCCACCCAAGAGATGGCTTGGGGGCTAGGTCATGGATAAATTTATAGACAGCCACCTGTCAGGGGTTGTTTGGAAGACAGCTACAACCAGTGCCAGGCGTTCAGTACAGAGGAAATGCCCAAAACATACTCCAGATATACTGTAGATATGACAACCAACACAAATAGATTAGATAGAAGGCACTGATGTTTCTGCTTTGGTCAATGGTGCTCATTAAGAAGAAAACAGACCATTATTTCTGCTTTCTGTAACTGTCTGACTCTGAATATTGCCTTCAATAAAGTTTCATAATGAGGATAACTGATATCACAAAGGAACACAGATAAGACTATCTATCGAATTGTCGCTATTGACTCTGAATAATATGACCGTTCTTTCCAGGGTTCAAGGGTGCAGAGATGTGGAACCCAAACACTCCTTTGAGTGAGGATTGTCTATACCTAAATGTCTGGTCCCCACGTTTCAACAAAACCCAGCCTCAGAACTCAGCACTGGCTCCTGTCCTTGTCTGGATCTATGGAGGCGGGTTTGCTTTAGGAACGTCCTCTCTGGACATTTATGATGGTCGCTTCTTGAGTATATCTGAAGGTGTTGTTGTGGTCTCAATGAATTACAGGTAAGAATTGAAGCAAACTGAAACTTTAAAATACTGATAAATAATGAATGGATATATTGGATTGTATGGAACTGGAAACTCCTTGATGATTCCCCTTTACATACTTAACTGTGACACTGATTTATTGTCCACACTGGAAGTTGCATAAGACTAAGGTTGCCATAAAATGGTAGCTGGTTTGGGTGCATTAAGCACCTCACGCTTGTGCTCATTATTGACAGACTAGGACCTTTTGGTTTCCTGTCTCTTCCTGACAACAAGAACATCCGGGGAAATGCAGGCCTACTGGACCAGCGCTTGGCCCTCCAATGGGTAGCCAATAATATTGCTGCTTTTGGAGGTGATTCTTTAAAGGTAAAATGCTTTTGTCTTATATCCTAAAATCACATAACAAGATTTGCTTAAATTTAAACAAACAATTAAACAAGCTGTTGGCTTGTGATGTGCTGTTGTTTCCAGGTGACTCTGTTTGGCGAGAGTGCTGGATCAGCATCTGTGGGCTTCCACCTGCTCTCCCCAGGCAGTCATGGTCTTTTTCAAAGGGCCGTGATGCAGAGTGGCTCTCCTAATGCACCCTGGGCGACAATCAGCCAGACTGAGGCCTGGCAAAGGTAGGGTCTATTAATTGAGTCAGTGATTAACTGTATTTATTTAGTCGTTCATCTTTTCACTCATATCGTTTTTTACCAACTCAATGATTAAATCTACAGCATACAACCTTTTACATTAATGTAACACTAAATCACGGGGATTCATGCTCATTCATGATCAGTTAGTGTTCAATGTTCATTAACACAAATAGGGACAAATATTTAATGTCTTTTTTTCAAGTACTCCAAAGTCATGAGAAAGAACAGAACGAAAGAACCCCCATGCATCTTTTTGAAATGTGTCTCTTTTTCCCCCACATTCCTCCTCATTCCCCTCATACAGGTCCATGAAGCTGGCGACGTTACTCGGGTGTCCCACCTCTAATCCAGCTCACCTGGAAACGTGTCTACAGCAGGCTGATCCTGAGAAAATCACATTGAACCAATATTATGTTTTCACACAGCCCACAATGTTAGCCTTTTTCTTTGTCCCACATGTTGATGGGGACTTCATACCAGATACAGTTGAAGTAAGCACGTGTGTGTGTGTGTGTGTGTGTGTGTGTGTGTGTGTGTGTGTGTGTGTGTGTGTGCTATCTTGTACTTTACAACATTAGAGTATCAGCTTCATTTACATCCTTAATTTGAAAAATATCTTGCATCACAAACATCAAACCAGTTTAGTTTTTCCCTGCAGGTGTTGCTGAGGACCAGTAAACTCCCAAAGAAAGAGGTACTACTTGGCTTAAACAAGGACGAAGGGACCTCCTTCCTAATGTATGGAGTGCCTGGATTTAACATCACGGGTCAGAGTCTCATCACCAGGAATGACTTCCTGACTGGAGTGAACCTTGACATGACAGATGCAGATGATGTCATAAAAGAAGCGGCCATTTTCCAATACACTGATTGGACTGATGAGAATAACAAGATGAAAAATCGTGATTCGCTGGGAACTCTGGTCGGGGACCATCAGTTGGTTTGTCCAGTGCTGGAGTTCATTCACATGTAAAGAGCACTTCTGAATTTTAACGATGTGGTGACTTATGGTTATAAGTAATGACCACAAAGTTTGATGGTTAAAATACGAGAACTGGACAGAGAATGAATGTTTTGTTTTTCCTAACTAGATGTCAAGAAAAAATGAGTATGGTGAATGGCAATAAAAGTAGTGTGTTATAGTAGCAAAAGTAAGGGATAATTTTAAGTTTTATATGTAACTTGCCTTCAGTGCCCTGCTTTAAAAAAATGGTCTGCGTTGGTGGGGTTGTGTTGTTCTGAAACACCAGAAGGTACAGAACCAAAGCTAGTAGGATTATGATGGACCGCCATGACCCCAGCTACTACTTCAGCTTCTGTGCTGTGCAAACGCCTCTGTAGCCACAAGTTCAACACAGAGACATGAGGAAAGAAGAAAAAGCTTCTTTCCTCAGCCCCCCAGGATGTTGAATTGACAATGACCTCTATCTGGGACACTGTTCCGCACATTATATATTTATATTTGTGACATGTACACAGCCAAATTTCCCTTTTTTAAAAATACATTTATTATATTTTTATCCACATTTTTTTTAAGCAACGAGGGTCTAAAGGTTAGAGAAGCGAGCTTGTGAATAAATAAAGGGTTCTCTCACACCAGTCTTTTAGTGTGACCTTAGGAGCAAGTCTCATTGCAGTTCACATTCTCATATTACTTGTGCATGTGACAAATCTTGATATTTCTGTATCTTTGCTTTAGGTAACAGTGAGACAATAAAATACAATCCAGGAAGTATGCCAAAACAGTGCACAGTGGTTTATAATAGTATGACAAAAAATGTTACAACTCTGGAAAGTCATCACGCTGGCAATCATTTTATCTTTCATCATGATGAGCACAAGAGAAGAAAAGTAGAAAAATGCCATTCACTTTATAAAGTAATCTACCAAAAATGTACACTTTTTACAGGATCCCTTTGCAGCCTCACCCTCGCTGCACTAATGCTATACACTATTCAAATGGATGAGGGGGGTGCATTTTTTCATGCAGTCTGTAGGCTAACTGTCACCAACATCCTAGAAAATAGGACAAACAGTCAATTCTCATTTTCTTGTGGTTTTTACAGATGTTTGTGTTTTATTTTCTCTAATTAACCTGAGTTGCTGCAGTGCAAAAATGGTTCAATATTTTCATTTATTTTTTACCCAGGTACTCACAACATGGTGGAAAGAGTTTCCTTTATTTATTTGACCACCAGTCGTCCATCAATCCTTGGCCAGAATGGATGGGCGTTATGCACGGCTATGAGATAGAATTTGTCTTTGGGATGCCTCTGGATGCATCCCTGGGATACACGAAGAATGAAGTAAACATGACCAAGAAGATCATGAAACACTGGGGCAACTTTGCCCGGACAGGGTACGCATAATGAAATAGACAATCGGTCATTCAAACTGTCTAAGGACCTTCATGACATTGTTGAACTGTCTTGATTGGCTTTTCTTTTTGTCAGGAATCCAGAAATTGATGGCGCTAACTGGCCCGTGTTCACCCCAGAACAGCAGGAGTATGTCACTCTGAACTACAACCACCCAGAACAAAAGAGGATGATGAGAGCTAAAGAATGTCACTTCTGGAACAAATTGATGCCAAAAATACAGAAAGTCTCAGGTTAGACACATCTATCTATCTATCTATGTGCTTCACTCACACATACACACAGAACTCTATATAGTTATCTGTAGTAGGAGGCATTGCGTCAGAGACGTCAGTGAGGCGTTTTGCCTTGTTTAGCCTGTGGAGAAGATTTGTATCCTGGCTTGCTCCCCCTCCGCTTCGCCACAGTTCTAGAGGTCTGAGTGGGTGGAGAGGAAGGTCAGTGAGCACTTCACTGAACAGCGATCACACACACTGCACAGCACATCTGCACATATTGAATGTTGACAGCGCAGTGACAGTGATAAGATGAGACAAACACGTACATATTACACACAAATTATCAACTGTCTCTCTCTATCTGCCTCTTTCTTCACAGATGATCTGCTGTCTTGCATTAAGGCAAATGGGATTACTCTCCACTGCAATTACAAGATCCTCCTCATGTTATTGGTTATAAGTTTGACCTATTGATAGAGTTAAGAAACTTTCCCTGGCTGGGCTGTTTTATATAGATATATGCAACAGTTTACATTAAAAATGTGGACAGAAAGAATTAACAAAACTTGGTCTTTACTATTATTGTAAGCATTATCTGTGATTACTGAATATTTATATTTTCTAAGACATTTTTAACTAGATTGAGTGTGTGCTTTAGTTACAGAAATGCTACATGTAAATACTTTATATCATGTGTATTTAGGCACCCAAAGTGATCCAGAAACAAGCAGGCAGGGAAAACTTCCTGTTTGTTGCAAATGTTCCTACAATAAACAGCACTGAGTTGTTTCTATCAGAGATGCAGCTGCTCTAATTTAATGATAGCTACATGCTCCTGAGCTCTGCAGGAACAATATTTTATGATGCTAAAATTTGAACTGTCATCATGGAGCAAGCTCTGTTTCTTTGCAGGTACTGGTACTGCACAATTGCCAACAACAAAAAAGTGGCTTTTGTTATTACAAAAATTATGAAAATCTGTTTTCTGATCACTACTAAAAGTTCAGCTTCTATTTGTTTATGCCTTTCTGTGTGCACATAAATGGTGTTTACAGTAAACACAGACTAATTGAAAAATTTGAGTGCAATTGCATTGGAGACATTTTAGATTAGTTTGTGACTATAATGTAGTTGACTCCAAACTGTCAGATGTTGGAATTTGACAAATAGATTTTCAACGTACAGATAATTCACTATTTCCTAATTATAAAAAATCTAGTACTATGTCATCACAATCAGGGATGCTCTGCATTTGTAATGATGTATTGTCTATTGTATTGATCAGTAAAGACCAGAACATATAGTGATCATTAAATATGTTGATAGAAGGGTTAATGAACAATGGGGTATGCTTTAAATCAATAAATTGATTTATATGTATTATGTTGACTGAGTTTATGTTTGTTTGATAGAATCTCACACATGAATGAATTTCAATGAATGTATTGTATGTAAAAATGAATATATATACACACACACACACCAGGGACAATGAATCCAGGGACATATCAAATCTGGGTGTATAAACTGACTAGTTCTTTTTGATATTAAGCAGCATAAATTATTATATAAACAAGTAATTTGTACTGCCAATGGCAAACAATTTCATATCTGCCATTAGTACTTGCTGAATGATATTTCTTGTCATCTGAAGTGTTTTACAGTTTAGCATACTGTGTTATTGTTCCACGCTGTCAATGAAACCAGTAATGTGATAATAAGTAATGCAGCCAAGCAAAGGTCATAGATGTTGATACAAAAGCTAACGAGATGTTGGAGAGTAATGAACTGCATTTGTTGAATGACCTTGAGTGCTGTTTAAAATCGTCTGGTGCAAAAGTAAAACATCATTTAAGCCTCTGGTATAAAGTGTGTGCAGGCGTCAGAAGGGGGTATTTTTAAGTTTGCAAAAGTTGCAAAGACCTTTGACATGAATTAACATGTCGTTTTTGTACATACTGTTGTGAATGACCATTTGTGTTTTTCTGCCAAAATGATACTGTTGTTAAAAACCAAGCAGTTTTTTTGTTATAAAAAATAAGTTGTTTGGATATTTCCCCACCACAAATACACACATATGCAAAAACTCACATACAATAACTTAAGAAAGCTATTCCATTTGACCTTTTAGAGTGATTGATGGAGGATGATTCCTGCCCACCTCTTACAGTGTGGTGTGTGGCCATGTCTGACACTGTTAAAGGAACAGATAGCAAGTAAGATAAGTACTGAAAGCTGGAAAGAAGTATATTTGGCAAAGGTGGTCTGTTGAGACACGACCGCCTGCATTAGCAGTGACATCATCACACAGTCGTTTTGAAAACGCTTGGTATCCATAATGGATGAAAATAAAGACAGTGCAAGAGCAAGAGGGAGTGTGAGGGTGAAAGAAAAAAAAAGAGGAGGAGACCATAAAGAAAATGAAGTCAAAGGGGATCTTTGCAAGGAAACCTGTGATGGTACAGTACAGGACTTATATCTTCACTATGTTAAGTCAAGGTGATGCTCCTATCTTGTCATGACCACAGGGATCAAGAAAAGCTGAAAATGAACAAAAATGGTAGACAATTGCTTAACCTTTTTCCACCGCTGTCAAGTGGGAATGATACTGTGGGACAGCAGGGTTTTTTGTCTTTGGCTGCATCTGCTCTGTATTTTGGTGGCTTGCCTTGTGTCCCACACTCTAAAAAAATAAAACATTGGGTCAAAAAAATATATATATATATGTTACCGTTTTCCACTATAATTTTTAAGTTAAGACTGCTGGCTGAATTACATTAATTCAAAGCAATGTTTTGAGTATGGTGAATTACCTTTTAGGCCACAATAAAACGCATTTCTAGTATTTACGTTGATCCAACATAATGTTTTAAGTTAGGTGAAGAAGGTTTCTGGCCACAATAAAACACATTTCTAAGTAACTCTGCAAGAGTTACAGGTGAAACTCAAAAAATTTGCATATCGTGCAAAAGTTCATTTATTTCAGTAATTCAACTTAAAAGGAGAAACTAATATATTATATAGAATCGTTAAATGCAAAGTGAGATATTTCAAGCCTTGATATAATTTTTATGATATTGCGTAGAGCTTATGAAAACCCCAAATTCAAAATCTCAGAAAATTAGAATATTGTGAAAAGGTTCAGTATTGTAGGCTCAAAGTCTCACACTCTAATCAGCTAATTAATCCAAAACACCTGCAAAGGGTTCCTGAGCCTTTAATTGGTCTCTAAGTCTGGTTCAGTGGAATTCACAATCATGGGGAAGACTGCTGACCTGACAGTTGTGCAGAAAACCATCATTGACACCCTCCACAAGGAGGGAAAGCCTCAAAAGGTAATTGCAAAAGAAGTTGGATGTTCTCAAAGTGCTGTATCAAGGCACATTAATAGAAAGTTAAGTGGAAGGGAAAAGTGTGGAAGAAAAAGGTGCACAAGCAGCAGCAGGGCTTGTTACGGATGAACAAGCTATGTGACGGTAGTCACGTAGACAGAAAAAGGGTGGTGGCTGATTTGACAAAGAAACTCAGCTACGGAGCAAGATATTTAAAGAGGAGTTAGGGAGAGATCGGGGTTATTCCTCGGTAGACCTCAGAGGCATCGGACTCGGAGCAAGACCATCACCGCACTGGACCAAGAGCCCAAGACAAGAGATGGGGATTTGAACAGCAAACAACTAGCAGAGGGTAACCACAACGACCAAACCAACTGAAGAATCACTGGAAGATTTTCTCTCACTCAAACTGCAATGAAGACTGAAGATTTCTGAAGACAATTAGAGGGCTTCTGACAAAACCTCAAGTTTCCACCAGAGTCATCAGCCCAGCAGCGGAGGAAGGATTTCACTGCAGGACTATTCCTTCCCCTTCCTTTCTCTCCAAAAAGAAATCAAAATACTCAAGCTCAGCTATCATTATCAGGTTTTGAATTTTAGAGATTTTATCAGTTTACTCAAGTAAGTGGTACTTAAATTACCAGTAGTAGACACTGAATTTATTTCTTCACTAAGGTAGTAATTCATTAGGTAAAGTGTGTTTAACATCTTTAAGGTTCTTATAGGTTGCTCTAGCAAACGAAATTAACTTATCCTTGGGGCCTATTTTCCTGGCCACTAAATCCTAGCAACTATACCAAGTGCACTGATCAATGAGAAGAGAGCTGTCGTTAACGGGCGTGGCTGGGGTGGTATTTGGCTCTAGGGCTATTCAGTCAGGTGCCATTTCAGAGCAAGCAGGGTAGGCGTTCGGAAGAAGACAGTTAGAAGCTAGGCGAATCTCTTCGACACCAGCTTAAACAGTCCTCAGTTATACCTAATAGGGTAATACCCATAGGCCTAGAGGATCGGACCCTTTAAGACGGAGAGCTGGTCCAGGATCTAACAAGTGCCACAGGCTGATAGCATCCATGCCACGCCACATTGAGGCAGTAATTCATGCAAAAGGGGCCCAAACCAAGTACTGAATACATATGCATGATTATACTTTTCAGAGGGCTGACATTTCTGTATTTAAAATCCTTTTTTTATTGATTTCATGTAATATTCTAATTTTCTGAGATTTTGAATTTGGGGTTTTCATAAGCTGTATGCAATAATCATCGAAATTATATGAAATAAAGGCTTGAAATATCTCACTTTGAATGTAATGAGTCTATATAATATTAGTTTCACCTTTTAAGTTGAATTACTGAAATAAATGAACTTTTGCATGATATGCAAATTTTTCGAGTTTCACCTGTAAGTTGTGTGTTAGCAAGTTATCTTTAGTATTTCCTCATCTGATTCATAGTCTAATCATGTCTAGCTAACGTTAGCCAACTAACTGGCTAGCGTAGCTACTTGTAGTTTACAAACGTAGCTAGCCTACATGCTAACCGGAGTGATGGCTAATGGGTAATCCCATATTAATTTAGCTTGCCAAGATGTTTTCCCTGGCTGCCTGGCCACCTATTACTCCCGCATTTAAGCCTACTCAATCAGTGACAGGCTACAGTTACTAGCTAACTTTACCTGGGCACACAGACTGTAATATCAACCCTGCTCAAATTTCAGAGGAAGGACTTCCAGATTTCGGTATTCGGTTACAGTAGGCTATCACCAACAGAATCCTGAGCGAATGCAAATATGTGTAATTAAGCATAAAATTACTTACCATTCAACACATTATGCTTCAATGACTTTTAGCTGTGGCCTGTGGTCACTCGTCTGCCTTGCACATGCAAGAGAGGAAAACTGTGGGCCGTTTAAACGTCAACAAATTGTATTTTACGTTAACAGAACTTAAAATAAAATTTTGATTAACTGAAAATGTTCAATCAATAGGCATAATTTGTGTGTCATCCAAGCTCAATAAAATAACAATTACATGTAAAACAGTCGAACAGTATCTCAGAACTTGATTTTTTATTTCACAACAATATATAATTTAAGTAATGACTAAAGGTCCCCTGAATTAGTTTTTAGAGTGCAATAGGTGGACAGCTGCAATAGATGGATAGGAAATCACGTGGCCACAGCAGTTTGTGTCTTGGAGACCTCTTTGAAATGTCAACAAAAATATGGTATTAATGTCATTATATTATATAGACTTGCTAATGCATACAGAAAGCATATAGTTTTATTCCCATCATGGGGCAGTGGCGTCTGGTAGGCCAGTTATTAGGAGTAGTGGTTTGATCCTGCTGGCCAGCATGTTGTGAGTCAGGACAGAACAGACACAAACGTAACACTCAGGATAAAACAGGTTTTGTGAAGGAAAAAAAGGGTGTGGAAGTGAGAGAGAGGTGGATGCCATGGTAGACAGACAGGGAGAGGAGGTATGGGAGAACTGACCAGGTGGGTGGGGGTCGGTGGAGGAGTGTGGTGGCAGGCTGACTGCGAGGCAAGCAGCCCGAGAGGAGAGGGCAGGTAGGTGAGCCCAGCCGACACGGAGGACGGAGGTGAGTGAACCTGGGGAAAGACAGACAGACAGGGTTAATCACTGGGAAAACAGAACACAGGGAAACAGATTTTGCAGGATCACAGAGGCTTGAGTTAAGGAGCGGAGAGAGAGGGAGAACACAAGCAAGGGGAGCAGAGGAGACACAGAAGCAGGCAAAACACGGGAAAACAGAATGCAGCAAAAAAGGTATAAATAAACAGGACACTCACAGCTCACTCACTGCCAACACAACAGGCTGGCGGCAAAGGCAGCGTCTCTCCGGAGGTCAGGCAGGAGGCCTGCAGCAAAGCCCTTCTGGAGGCTACTGGGCTAACGATCGTGGACAAGGAACAAGGAAGTGGCGTAGTCTGGACTACGGACTTGGCACGAGGAGCATGCTGGATTACCGGAGGAGTTGATACTGGTCGATCCACCTACTGGGCACGAGGAGCCGAGGTTGGCTG